ATATGTATGTGTGTATATATATATTGTGTAATATACTATAACATACGATAACATACATAACATACTAATATATAAAAATCTACACAACGTACTACTATATCATCATGCGAAATAATATGGTGTCTTCTGCGCTCAGCTGCCGGTCACATGGAATCGCAGGCTAGACTTGGATGAGGCTCCGCATGCTGGGGCCCTCACTGATGCAGATGCATTCGTACCAAGTGTAGCCACAGGATGGCCCAGTCTTGCACTCGAGGCCCTGGAGCTGAAGGCTTTAGCGGTTTAGGGTTTAGGGTTTTGGGATGTTTTGGGTTTAGGGTTTAGGGTTTGGCAGCTGAACGAGATCCAAGACTGTGTCAGTCCGAGCAAGAGAAGTTTACAGACGCCCCAAAAGCTCAAGCGCTCATTGGGAGGCGGTCCTTGGCTACGTGGCCGAAAGCACACGCGCGGTTGTCGTCAAGGAACTGCTGCTCTCCGTCCTCAGCGGAGAAACGCGTGGCTCCGGCTCAGCTTTCTGAGCCTGAAATGAAACCCTGGCCCTAAACCCCAAGAGACCGCCGGGGAAGGTCGGTGGTAGTGCCTTCTTCTTGTGGCGACTGATACAATTCATGTGCCGCTGTGCAAAAACAGTCAAAAGCCTCAAGGAGTTGCACTGAAACCCTAATTTTCGAAGCAAGACAGCAACGCTCCGAGCAGCAAGGATGGGACGAAGCTGGTCTCCCCCTGACCGGATTGTCGATCCAAATATTATATTCTAACTGTAGTCATGGTTGTAGGATTATAGTGTGATATACTCATTTATTGTAAAATATAGATATTACAAATAGTAAACGATATTATACTAAATATTATACTGTAGTATCTTATTATCTTGTCTTATCCTACGTTACGTATATTGCAGTATATTTTAACTATTTAAATTTAGGGTTTACGGTTTAAGGCACATCCTCCACGATCACTGCACGTGCCACAACAACTATTGCTGCGACAAGGGCTGGTACTACCACACACTCTAACTACTCCAAAAACAAGTAGCAGAATACACGACTCTAATCTGCGAATGCTCCTGCTGCACCTAGGGCCGACCTGGAAGGAAGCCTCACATCCCACAAACGGGGAGCTGCGAGCGCCTTGTAGGTTCCAACAGCCCGCCATCTTGGCACAGTTGCTGGCGCCATGCGCGGGCCCCAGGAAGAAGAAGAAGAAGCACGAGGCCAGCTGGATGTATCGCGACATCTCACCTCAGCTGGAGTTGCTGCATCTGCGTCTTTGGTTTGCCATGTTCGCGATGCTACGACAACCGTCACGACGACAATGACAGCAGCGACTTTTGCAGCGCGCAATCGCAGCCATGACCTGGTGCCGAGATCACGGTAAGTACTCAGAAGACGAGGCTGTGTCTGAGAGTCGGGCAGAGGGCTCCGAGAATGAAATTTCCCACATGGCGAGAACATCCTAAAGCTAGTAGTCTTGTCTAGGCTTTGTGCTAGGTTAAGGCTGATGCGATCTGAGTCTGCTGCCTAAGAGTTTGTGGGCTTCAATGGGCTTAAACCCAATAGTCCAAAGTTCAGGCTTGAAAGTCAGAGATCTCCCAGAAAGAAACTTTCAGAAAACATTTCGGGCTTAGGGTTTAGGAATAAGCACCTGCCATAGTCAAAATTCCTCAACCCATCGAACTCCTTCTTTGAACCCCCTAGATTCCCTAGATCCGACATTCTAACATGTGTGTTCGGCATCTCCTGAAAGGCACATGAGCCACGAGGATTACAAGGGAGCGTGCGGCGTTTGTCATGAGGATCAAGACGACAAAACCACCAGCTGTGCCATGTGCTGTGAGTCTTCGTGCAAAATTGGGACCAAGACGGCAAGTACGACGATGCACATATCTGCACTGTGGAACAGAAAAAATAAAGCAGTAATGATACCCCAGACATTCAACATATATAAATCCACAAAATTAACAGGCTACAGGTTTCTGGATCGTTTGAATTTGCACGAGCAACCGTCATGTATTCATAAACGTATTTGGAATAATTATATAAAGAGCAGTAGAAGGCTCACTTGCGGCGTTGCTGAGGACATCTGCTTCAAGAAGTCCTTCTTCATTGACAGCGACCTGCAGCGCAGGCACGGCCGCATCTTTGATGCAGTGATGCTGCAGTTCTGGATGGAAATTGCTCGCCTTGCGGACGGGCATGTGCAGAATTTACAGGGCTGCCGACCGCAACATGTTCTCCAGCACGAAAACACCGCAGTCATTCAGGTTTTCCTGCCAGGTGTCGCAAAGATGTACCCGTTCATGCAGCGACCTGGAAAGTTGAACCAACAACAGCAACAGCAGTAACAAGAACTGTACAAACAAAATTGCAAAAGCACAACCATGAGAGGACCAATGCTTCCAACCAGGAAAAGAGCAGTAATGCGGCTGCTCGCCACGACAACAAACCATCAGTACTAGCACATCAATAGAGTGGTGCAAGACTCTTATGGGGTAGCACCAGTAGTAGTGTCAGCACGACCACTGTGCTTGGCTAGCTCCTAACTAGCTAGCTAGCTAGCTAGCACTACTACTACTACTACTACTACTACTACTACTACTACTACTACTACTTACTACTACTACTTCTTCTTCTTCGACTTCGAATATGACGACTACGACAACAGACTACCACTACGCCTACTACTTCCACAACAACAACAACAACTACTACTACCACTACGACGACGACTACTACTACTACTGCTACTACCGCTACTGCCACTACTACTCCTGCCACAGCTGCTACGACTACGACTACGACTACGACTGCTACTGCTACTGCTACTGCTACTGCTACTCCTACTCCTACTCCTACTCCTCCTACTACTCCTACTACTACTACTACTACTACTTTTTTACTAGTAGTACTACGCTCAAAAGGCACACCGACGGCGAAGTTCAAGAAGCTACTGCTACTACTGCTCCTGTTGTACTACAACAAGAAACACCCAAAATGGTCGCAACCACCATTACAATAAAGACCATACTACTACTTATGCAATCGTTGTAGCATCAGTCACATCCATAAGCAGTACAGAGCAAAAAATCATTCTGACTGATAAGGATTCGGTGATCGATGGTGATAGTGCTGAATTTAGCCAGAAGCTTCAGCAGCCCTGGAATGGCTTTTGTTCTGTAGTCACATCCGTTGCCACTCCACTGGTATGGGTGCAGCTACAAGGCAGCACACACACACACACAACAAAATCAAAAAAACAAAAAACACCTGCAAGTTTCCACTTCGCTGTGCTTGCCCTGCCCCAAGCTCCGCTAGCGGTCTAGATCACATCGTACCGTGAGACATTCCTTCGGTATTTGCAGGCTGGGTTCCTCTTCCTTCTCCTCCGAGCTCGGAGCCTCTTTCGCGACTTCGGATTTCGAGCTCTGGTCGCCCAGGTCGCCCTGTGCAGTCACTTTGTGTCTTGAGAAGCCAGCTTGGATCCGAGAGATCTCTGCGGCTTGGTGATGTTGCCCCGAGTTGCTTGCAGCTGTTGCTCCACGTTGGCGGTTTAAAGCCAATTCTTTCCAACAGCGTGCCACACATGCTAGAACAAGGTCCTGGATAAGCAAAATGCCGACTACAATCCGTTACAGTCTCGCAGGACATGCAACCATCGCTGCCTGGGGGTTGGCTGCTGTGCTGTGCTGCAGCGAAGCAGCCGAATCCTCATCTGTGGAGCTGTTCTTGCGAAGCTCAGGCAAAGTTCCCTAAAAAGTTCCCTAAAGAACAAGCAGCCTAAACCTCCTAAACCCTAATTTGCCGCAATTTAGTCTGGTTTCTGCAGCCGTGGCCGTGTGAAAAAGCTGCGGCGCCATCTTTGGAGCTGCCGCAGGCGGTGGCGGAGGAGCTTGAAAGCTGCACATTGAGATCTGAGCTCACGGGTGCTTTAGGGCCTTCGGGGTTTTGGGAAATTCAGGGTATTTCAGGGAGTCATGAGAGGTCATGAGCAACGACTCAATCCTTCGTGACAATGGGAACATCAAAGACTTTAATAAGGCTCGCGCATTCGGAGGCTGTGATGGCGCTGCGCAGGGAGGCCCACTGAAGACTGGTGACATCATCATGGGAGCTGCGGGCGGCGCCCCTTGCAGCAGTGATGCTGGTGGGGTTGGCGATGTGAAGAGAATCGGCGGCCCCAAGGGAAGGGGAGGCTCTGTGCCGAAAAACCTCGCAGGAACTTCATGTGGATTCAGGGGGAAGAGTCCTACGGCTGGCATAGCTCTCATGGGTCGGAGCCCGAAAGCAGGAGTGCGGTGAATGCGGCCAAGCAGCGTTCTCGTGCCTCAGTGGACAAAGGCTAAGGCTTGTGCCTGTCACATCGCACGGTGCTCTTTGCGGAAGAGCTGCCCAAGCCGGCATGAGGACTCTCGTAGTGCGAGCTGGTCCAGCTTCTGGCTGGTGTCACCTCCCCAACCTGGAAGAACCCGCTTGAAACTTCAAAGAGGCAGGTTGCAACAACTTCTTCCGAGCGGCAGTGGTCACCGGGCTCTCGTAAGACTGCTTTCTCTGTGGCGACCCGCTTGAGCTGCCTGCGAGGCTGCGTGCTGCGCTCGTTGGTGCTATTCCGTCTCTGTGATCTGTTCTCCAAGGGGCCAAGAGATTGAGCGAGAGAGATCTTGCTTCCCCCTGAAGCCAGGAGCTATGAAGATTGACACGCGACTTGATGAGCAGAGCCATCTTCATCCGAGTAACCTTCTGACGTCCACGACTGGCTTTTTGCTGAGTTGAGCCCAGACAGGTCTCCTTTCGACCGGGGCGGGTCAGCGCGTCGACTGCTAGTTCCGAAGATGTACATGGCTCGGATTCGCCCGAGCCCCCGCCAAGTCTTTCAAAAAAAACTTGGAGGTTCTTGGAACTTAGTTCTTGGCAGGGGAGCTCGCGGCTGAGATCCAGCTCCCTCAAAGGTGGAATTCCACCTTGGGCCAAAGCCTGCAGTGTTTACGGAGTCCTGCAGTGTTTCGGCTTTGCTCCCGACCTGCCATGGCTTGGCTTCCGCCTGTCCCCACGACCTCTGCAGTCCTGCAAACCCGGTTGGCCCTGCGAATTTCCTGCCGTCACACTCGGCCCACTTCACATGGGCAACACCCAAGCACGAGTTCTGCCTCAGGATCGTCCTCTACCAGGATCCCTTGAGAAGACTTCAGGCCTGCAGTGGGAACTTGGTCCTCTATGGCCTCCGTGCTCGTTCTGCGCGTCCCTGCCTTTCTGCTGCAGCAGCTTTACCATCAGCTGATCTTTGGAACGCCACTCCGCCTCTGGCGGGTCCATGCCCATGGGCAAGCAGCTCTGCCACGCACATGGAACCCACGTCTGCAACGGACCTGCCACGTTTCTCCCAGAAACTGTGGGGCCAGCGCCGGCGGATCGCCGATCACCTGTAACGTCAAAACGTCAATAGCAATAGGAGTAGAAATGCCTAGAATGGCAAGTAAACCCTACAGCCCCAAACCTGGCCATAAACATATGCTAACCAGGTCTGAAAACGTCAGGCCAAGACCTCAATACTATTCGCCCGAAAGACTGCAGGTGAGGGGAGCATGTGCAACTCAGCGAAAACCACTGCGGGCTATCCCGGCGCGAGAGAGAGAGAGAGAGAGAGAGAGAGAGACAGACAGAGAGAGCGAGCAGCCTACAGCGGTAAGCTGGACTGTCTGTGACGGTGAGGAGCCAGTAATCAGCATCCGCATGTTTCAGAGGAGGGGTCGAGAGTTGCAAAGCGGCCTGCTTGTCAAAGGGCGAGGTGCCGTAGGTGACACCGATGTGGCCATAGACCTGTTACCCAGCATTGACCGCTCTCTTTTTCCCCAAAAAGGCCATGCCAGGCCTGTGTAAAGTATGACCGAAGCCCGAGGGCATGAAGGCAGAGCTGCACGGGGCCCACGAAGCCCTGTGCCATGACACTGGGCAAACGGGAACCCACGGGGGATCCGGGGCCTTCGTGCAAATCACCATCTCAGCATCTTCCTTCTGAAGACTTTGCAACATCCTCCGCACCTTGCAGCGACTCTATGGCGCTCTGGGGGTGCCTTTACATCGAGATTTCACAGCCCGAGCTTTCCTGTCTCTGGCCTCCTCGACGCGACTGCTTCCACCGAAAGCTGCACAGGGGAAGCCACCCTGTTCGAATGCATTTTGAATTCACGGCTTGCGACCATGTCAGGTGAAGCAGCAAACGCGAGAAGCCCTGACTCTCGGGGTGTATTGCACCAGTGCCATGCATGTGCCTCGTGCTACAATGACTAAGGTATGCGGATGCATGCCTTTGAACATCAAAAAAAGCCTCGTCTTCCGCTTGATCCCTCGCTGTTCCCGCTTCTTCGACAGCTGCTTAGCGTGCCTGGGTAGCGAACTCCCCACTGCTGAGTTCATCAATCCGCGCCACCTGCAAGCGCAACATTTCTGGAGATGATTTGTCTCAGCTTGTATGGACAGTGTAGCATGGTGGCATTCCACGACATTGGTGTGCAGTGTGCAGTTGCTTCCGCAACCTGCCCGAGTTCACTCATCGCGTGTGGCTTCGGGATGCTGGCGCAAACTCCCTCCTGCTGTTGCATAGCGAAACAAGCCGGTGACATCACAGAGCTGCTACGAACGTCCGAATTGCCAGTACAGCTGAGGCCGCGCGATGACGAGCAGCACACAGCAATGCCCGGTCCTGTTTCCAGCCGGAGAGCGACTTGAAAACGTGAAACACCTCAGAAGTTGTTACATGAGCCACAGCATGGCTGCCGTAGGAAAGTTTCTTTTCCAGCTGTTGCTGCTATGTGCATTTGCCTTGGAGAAGCATGAAAAAGCTTTCATTCATTGGACGTGACTAGACTTCCTTTGGCCTTTGGCTTCGGCGGGACTTGCATCTCCTGCTTGCCTGTTGTAAATTCCTAGCTCGACCATATGTTCCTAGTCGTATACACCGATCCTTTCTCAGCTGTTTCATCCCATCGTGACCAACTGCAATGACCGATTTTCGAGCATCAGCTAACCCACAAGCCAGTAACTGCGGCTGCTGCTTGTTCTGCCATGTTCTGCCACTGCCGCAAAACGTCGTCATGTCAGCACACGACATGAGTTTGTGTTGGCTAACTGCTCAGCCACCTCAGCCATGGCACCTTTGTTGGAGCGGGTGTGGTTTCAAATTGAACCGTGTCGGGTCTTGCATCGCAGCTTCTCTCCGGCTCCTGTAGAAAGAAGCGTTCGGCACCAGCTTTTGTGCCACAGTAAGTGGAGTCTTAATGTGGTTGCATGTTCCATCTGACGATCCCGCATTTTAGCTTCACCTATCATGCAGGATTTCTGCACCGCAGACTTCTTAGGACTGTGAGCTTGCACCGACACCCACACCTGAACTGTTGAAAGAACGCGGCCGGATGAAGAAACGGACCTCGCCGCTAGGGTACCTTGGCCTTTGCCTCTCCGAATCCTTGGGAGCCGACTCGGGTACTAAAACTATTTCGGCTCGGGTGCTGTGAGGGTCTGGTCAAAGTCGAACATGAAAAACCTGTCGGCGGCCGGTACGTAAGGGCAGGGGCCGCGAATGAGAGCTATCGCACGACAGACTTGCCTGACCGGCTCTGTTGCACCAGCCTGGCAGATCTCAGATTCCGCCACCCTCCCACCGAGACGCAATGACACCTTCCACATGATGCAGCTGCGCAGCCAAACATGGATGCCAAGGCTGCTAGCTGGAAGGATTTCCCCGATCCCTGATGCAAACTGCGCTGCTCATGTTGGCTAGGTGAAACAAAACTTTCAAGCTGCCGAATCCATTGAAGCATTCGAGTTTGCTGTGCCCCGTCGGCTCATCACTTGGCTCCGCCATATGTTTTGAGTCTTGCGAGCGGCGGCATCGATCTTCGTCCGCACTCTGCGAGTTCAAACGCCTGCTGAGAATGTACACACATGTGCACACTTTTCATCTTGCCCGAGCCGTTTGTCCAAAGGCAAAGAGGTTCAGCCCTGGAACTGCAAGTCGCAGGCGGTTCAAAGCCTGCCACCAAGGCGAGGATCCCTAACTAGGCCTACAGAGGTCTCGGCACCATCAAGGGTTCCTTCAAATTGACCCGTTATCCCCGTGACTCAGTACCCACACTTCGCTACACACCCCTTTTGTCAGAGGTCGGATGGCCACTGCTGTCGGATGTTCACAGTCATGCTGCAACAGTCTCGGAGATCTGAGTATCCAAACAATTTTTGGGTTGGGGAGCTTACTCTCGAGCTTGAGATCTTCAAAGCCGACTTGTGGCCACTGGAGCTGCCGATCGCACTTTGCCCCGGCTATGCACGGTTCTTCCTGCCTGCGGGGAGATGTGGTTGCAGCTGACCTCGCGAGAATTTGCACGGCATCTTCAACGCGAACAAGCATGATCCTAAAGCATGCTTCACGCAGCCCGAGCGGCTCTCAAGGTCCGCAAAGCTGGGCAGCTCGGCAAGGCTCGTGCCAAGGCGGCTGCGCCCGAATCGCCGAAGCAATTTTCGTTCAGCGAGAGGAGGCGCAGGTGTGAGGAATCTTTGAAGCGCCCCGCAAGTGCACGTATGCCCACGTCACCTATCGCGTTGTCGTCGAGTTGCAGCTCCTCGATGAAGGAAGTCAGCGTGCTTGCTAGAAGGCTTGCTGAGGCACTTCCCATCTGGTTCTCATTCAAGCAAAGGCTTTGTAGGTTGGGGCATTGCGGTAGAACTAGTGCCAAAGCCTGTAGTGCATCCCCAAGTCCGAGCTTGGCTGCTCGTAATGTTGATAACTTCTGACAGAGCGGTAGCTTTGAGGCTAAGGCTGCAAATCCATTCTCCCCAAAGCTGTTGGCGCTGATGTAGAGCTGCCGCAGCTCCGGAAGCTTGGCAAGAGCACCCGCCAAGCAACCGGCCCCCACATCACTGATAATGTTGTGGGAGATGTCCAGGATCTGCAGCGTGCCGGGCAAGCAAGCTGCGATAGCCTCCATGCCTACATCCGAGATGCTGTTCTCCGATAAAACGAGTTTCACAAGATGCTGGCTGTGAACCAGTACCTCAGCTAGCCGGAGTGCATGGAAGTCGTCCCAGCCCCGGCTTGAGAAGTCCATCCATTCTTGCGCACCGAGCACGGCTGTAAAGGCCTTGTGGTACAAGCTTTGCGCCAGTGACACCACGTGCTCATCAAAGCCTTGACTCTGGATCATCAGGTTGAAAGCACTGGGTGTCGTTGGAGGGCTTCCAGACGCACCGGATGCTTGCAGGAGAGTCGGTCGCGACGGGGATAGGGGACAGCTGGACTGGGCCACCGCTTCGCTGGCCTCTACCACCAGGGACTCGGAGCTCAAATTCGCCAGCATTCGCTGTAAGCAAGGCCAGATGTGTATAGAATCAGAACTAGGCATGAACCACTTGGTGGTGCATGGCGAGGCATACCAGGCGCTCATGTCTTGCAGGCTTCGCTGATACGTGGCTTCTTCATCCTCTGATCGGGGCTGCTGGTAGAGGCTGCACCAGTCCAAAAAAATGGCAAACTCCGTGCCGTGCTCTTCTAAAGACAATCTTTGGCTGTGCTTCTCCACCATCTTGGCAAGAAGCTCCAGCATTTGGCAGTCAGATTCTGGCTGTTCTTCTTGCCAGAAATGAGACACGACAAGCAGTCTGGAAGATACGTTGCCCGTCAAGCTGCTGAAGTCGTTCCAGAAGGCCTCGCAGAGCCACAAAAGCACAAGGCTCCTTTCCGTAGGACGAGTCCGTGCCTCTGGTGGCAGCGCCTGTCGCTGCGGAAGGGGCTGAGAGGGTTCGGCCAGAAGGCCGCGAAGCCAGGAGGCGCGCAGAAGTCCAATGTGACCCCGCTCGACGGACCTCCACTCGCGCTCGGAGCCCTCTCGGAACCTCAAAAAAAAAGCTGTCTCCGTGCCTTTGCAACATCGGCAGGCTCGCAAAGTCCTCCGCTTCCTCTCAGGCTCGTCAGGCCCGTGCTCTCCGCTCTCGCTCTTTTCTGAGTTTTTTTTCTTAGGCGCACATGGCATGTCAACACTTCATGTTAATTTCCGTCTGATCCTTCTCTGACGCCTTCGGCACTCCCGGCTGGAGGGCAAGCAGGCCGTTTGCCCGATGCCTTGTCGAGTGCAAGAAGTGGCTGCTTCGCCACACAGAAAGGCTTCAGGCTTCTCTCTCGTCTTGCATCGCTGAGGTGCGTCTGGAGGATGTCCTGTCATTGTTGATGCGCAAACTCGCTTGCATCAGCATAGCATGGCACAGCTCTGCACCGCCGACAGAATCCCTTTGTAATGGAGCAAACAGTCTGCGAGCCTCCCTCTCCGCTCCGGCATTCTGGCCGCCAAGCTCCGCTTCTATGCAAGGCGCGATCTCTGGCACCTTTCGCGGGGCTTTCCTTATCGCGGACGATTCCTTGGATAGTTGTCACCCATCCGGACAAGCGTGATGCAGCAACTTTGAATTTCGGAACAGCTCTCGTCCATGAAACACCATCACGAGGTGTGGTGCAGCCTACATATCTCAAGGTGCCCCCACACATGCGAAAGTAGATGAACAAATGTATGGATGGGTGGATGGATCGATGGACGGGCGGGATTCAGGATCGATTCGCTTCCCGTTCTGCGAACGATGTTTGCGTTACACTCGCACGCTCTTAGGTGCGCTACTGCTTTTGTCTGAATCGATCTGCGTCCTCGGGCTGCCAAGAGGATGCCTTCACAAGTCCGCAATGCACCGAGAGTCGGGCACCGGCCCGCAGCAAGGAAGCGATTTGAAGCTTCTGGTCCCACCGGCCCCTGACAATGGCCCTGTGAGGTGAGACTTTGCGCACCCATTCTGCCCACGAGTGTCTGCACAGAGGAAGTGATACAGAGGCTTCGGAGTCAATGCTGAGCCGGTATCCTGGTTGCCTGTGGCCGTGCTTTGAGATCTGCTGGAAGCTTCGACGCGGCTTTGAGGGGTGTGGTGCGCAAGGTGCCCACCGAAACAAACCTCGTTCTCCCGAGAAAAGGACCCCACGAACACGCGTGGCTTCGTTCTTTCGGGACCAGTCGAACACCATGATCCTTCCACTGCCGAGGCATGCTGCGGCCCGACATGATCAGAGAGGCCCGAAAGGACAAAACCAACGAGCGATTTGTGCCTGCTGGAAACAGCCATCAAGGCATTCTGGATATCAGCCCAGCGCACCTCGATGATGTTCCGACAGTCCGCAGCTTCGGCCACCAACAGTTCGGCCTTCAAGAACGCCTGGCGTGGGTTTGCAAAACATGTGATCCCGACGTGTTCAAGAGTTGCAGGCTGCAGTCCGGGACCACGGCTTCTTCCAATTGATTGAGCTCCTGCTCTGCAGAGCTGCATCAAGTCGAGACCCCTCAACTGAACGGAGAATGCGTGGAGCTGCATGTGCAGGTCGGAAAAGACAAGCACAAGTTTCTGAAGGGGATCTGCATGCTTTGTGCATTGCATCAACTCCTTCTCGGATTCGGATTCCAGGACATTCTCCTGGACTGCACGGGCCTCTCGAGAGCAAGTAATGCTTCCTCTGCGACATGAGATGATCTGCTTTGAATCCAGCGCCTTGCGGCGTAGGTACCGCATGCTGCCTGACACCTGATTCCACTGCTTCCTGAGTGGTGCTTCAGTACCCAATCACTTGCCCGCACTCTCCCTGATTTAGTTGCCACTCCGACATGCCATTGAAATTAATAATGCCTGCCGCCGTGGCACATCACAGAGAAATCAATTTGATACAATCGCCTGGGTAAGGAAGAAGCTAGAGCGCAGGCATCTGGACCGAAGATGTTTTATGCGTTTCGAGGTGCTTGTGCGGCCCCATGGCCAAGTAGTGCAGCCCCATAGCATCCTGCGGCGGCATGGGCCGTGCAGCAGAAGTCGATGCAGGTGCAGCCGTCGCATTCATCGGTCAGACCGGTACTGCATCCGCTTGGGCACGCATGCCGGGAGCTCAAGGTGCGAGGAAGCTGGGCCTCACTCAACTCCTCTTGACAGTGATGGCCTACAGTTGTCTGAGGCCTCTGCGAGAGAAGCAGATTTGGCGAGAGTCGAGCTTTTCGGTTGACGGGATTTGAATCAGTCATTCTGTTAGGTCCATGTCCCAAGCTTCTTCCGAACTTTCTCCGAGACGCGTGGTGCTCGAGGCGGAAACATCAACGGCCTTAACTTATACCCTCTGAGATGGACAAAATCGCTTGCCAGAAGTCCTGAGAGTACGCAGCTTCGAGAACCTGCGCATCCTTGCTGTTGACGCGATGCCAGGTGGCATCTTGCCATTCCCACATTGCGCGGCTAGTGGGCTGACTGCACTGTCGGGTGGGCAACAGTGGGGTGCAGTCGCTGTGATCCCTGTCGTTTGGCTGCGTTTGGCCCGAATATCCTGCAGCGATCTGGAGAGCATGGACGGGTCCCGCAGTGTTCACAGAGCCAGAGGTGCTGACCAAAGTCACCATGACCAGTGCAATGCAGGCTCAGTGTGGCGAGCTTCCCCCCTTCAGGCCGCGAGCCTGCCATGCAACGGTGTCGTCAGCCTGCACAGAGACTCAGAAGCCACGCCGAGGAACGAGGAGCTTTGCGAAATCAGTCTTTGACCATATACCATCTAGCCAGCATGGGCTTCCCGCTCCTAGCTGGAGCAATCCCTCTGCGTCTCTTTTAATGTTCCGGCTCCGTGCTGCCGCGTGATGGGTCCGGAGCTGGAAATAAATGCTCGCAACAATACGACAAGATCTGCGGAAACTCGCACAGCTCCTGCGACTGAGCCACCCAGGTGCGTGTTGTGGCGACCTGGGACTCGATCCGTCGATGGGTTGCGATGCTGATGCCCTGCAAGTCATCTGCATCCGGGCAAGCAATGGTTCTGCAAAGACTCTGAATGCACGAAAGATGGCACAGCTTGCCCGGACAAGGACAATGCTGGTGCAGGTTGCATCACGACTAGCTGACTAGCATCTAATTGCCGACCAAGTCATGGTCTTCATGGCTCTTGCACCATGACTTTGATGGTAACGACGAAAACATTCAGCAAGTTCTTGTACGTTCCCGCGGTCGCGCTTTCTTCGCCCTATACGAGCCACACTAAGACAACTAAGATATGTATTCATGGGTGCAAGGACATCGGCGTGGCAGAGACGTTTTGCTCGAATTCACTGAGCTCAGGCCTGGCAAAGTATGTTTCTGTGCCTTCTCCCGGCCTGGGCTCTGCACTGCCAACTTCAGGGTTCTCAAGCCGGCACTAGCTTTCCACACCCCCCGAATCCGCAGTGATGGGGCAGCCTATGATCTCACCTAGCACAGGTGCAGATGCTTGGGAGGTGGACTTTTTGACAATAAAGCGTTCCCGCTTGGAGATCACTACCTCTGAGGCGAGGATTCTAGGATTCCAGCAAGAGCTCGTGCTTTGAAGAGCTTCTTCCTACTGCTGTGAGTGTCTTAACTTGCGTAGAGGTGCACTGAGCTCTTGTTTCGCTCATGACCGAGCAGTGAGACGCTGGTGGAACCCCAATGCTCCCTGGCTGCAAGCACGAGGCGTGGCTTGAAGTTCGAGCTGGAATTCTAGAGCCTTCCAGGTATTCGTACGAAGGATCTCACTCCGAAGCTCGCGGTAGTGCCGAGGGTCACATGACCTATGCAGTCGCATGGCACGGGCACTGCAACAGCTGATCTGCCGGGGCCAAGACGGCACAGCCTCGAGCCCTCTCCTCCTCCTGCGCCATGCCAGGTTCTAAAGATCGGGAGTGTGCGGAGCGTCAGCTGCCTCGTCTGAGACGAAGGACACAGTGGAGAAGTCCCGTCCCTTGGCATCTGCTCTGCGACTGTTTTCCTACGGATTCGACACGGGACTGCCTCTGCCTGGCTGTTGCCTTCTGTGGGCCCCTGCATCACGTGACCGACACCAGTTGCTGTCATCATCTTCCTCAGGCTGCGCGATTCCGGCGCATGCCGTCGCAGCTCAGCACTCTGCCAAACGTCGTGCAAACGCATGGTCATTTGACTGACTGGTCTGGGCGGGTCCTCGTCCTCTTCATCTTCGTCTATGCACATCATCCCCAGGCTCAGCACCTGAAAGGCTCCCTTACTCGCTCGCACTCCCTGCAGCTCCTGCTTCCTTGAATTGCTGGGCTGCCAGCCCCACCGCAGGTCACTAGCTCCTGGTCACGGGTGTGCAGTTTGGAAGGCATCGCAGGGTACAGCTTCTGTCCTTCATTCTTCTCCGCCGCTGAACGCCCTCCCAGTACATGCAGTCCATCTGACAGGTTCGCAGTAGTGTATGTATGAGGCTGAAGTTGAGAGACTGAGAGCCTCTGTCCATTCGACCACTTCGCCAACCACACAGCACGTGTCGTCACGCTTCCCGCCCTTGCCTTGCTTTGGTGCACATAGAACCGAGCTCTCCATCAACGAGGCTGGGTCGAAAACACTTTGGGAACTCAGATCTTCGCCGATCGGCGTGTCTGGATACTTGCCGGTCCGCAGGTCGGCCTGGTCACACGACACACTCGACGGACGACCGGCGACTCAAAGCCGCCTTGGTCTTCATGTGGCAGGCTTCCACAATGTACCTGGCCACCTGGCTGTTTGCAAGGCAGCCTTGGCCAAGGAGCTGCCCTGCAACTGCGGATGACGCGCCTCTCCCATGAAAGCCTTATCCAAGGGCCGGAACCTCAAACAACAGAGGAAGGCTTGAAGGACACTGGCCCGACAATTTCAAGAGCTGGACGAGGGCAAGGACAAACATTTCATCCCTGAGTCGGGGGCTTCTCGCCGGGAGTGGAAGGTCTGGGAACCAGTTGGTTGATGATCGCGGCGACCTTCGAAGCAACAGGACTGCCTTGCCTATCCCCAATAACTCGCATCCACACAAGAACAGAAGCTATGCCCAGCCCGGCCTCGTCCTTGAAGAGATTGTCAAAGACCCCGTCGCTGCCAATGACCACCAAGTCACCCTGCACAGCGGCGCGGCAAGGAGGCAAGGCCAGAAAATCCCTCGCTACTTGGCTCAGTGCCTCGTACACGGAGACCTGGGATGCGAGTCACACCCTTCATCACAACGCGAAAAGTCTGACACTTCTTGGGATTTCTCAGGCCGCAGCCATGTGAACGGCACTTCCTCTCTCGATTACCTAGCAACTAACAACTTTGTTGCGCTTCGGCGCAGATCGGGTGGAGGCCAGCCTCGATGGTCATCCGCTCGTCGAAAGCGGCATCAATTCTGCCATCAACGCGGCAGACCTGCAGCACACCACGGGAGTGTGCAGTCGCTGCAGCAACGTCCAAGTTGGCCTGGAGGGGACACTGGCAGTTGCCGCCGATGCGCTGCATTTCCGTATTGAACACCGTTTCGTATCTGCATTGGCCGCCGCTCGCCCTCTGCCACAAGAGAAAGGTCCGTCTGAGGTTTCAGCCGTAGTCGGCCACTCGCCATGTTCTGGCGGAGAACCATCAGCTCACAGTCGCCTGCAGCAGGCCGTGGGACGCCATGGGCTCGGATTCCGAAAAAACTGACGAGAATGCTTTCGGAACTCTCAGACCTATGGAGATGATGGCCATCATGGGGTGGAGTTTGCCGTGGATTCTGGTGCTGTTGTCCAGCACGGAGAGGCCTTCAGTGCCAGTGCGCAACATTTGTCCCAAGGGCTCTAGGCAGACTTCGAATACACAACACTCGTCTGTGGCTCGCGGCAATGTACGCCCTATGCTGCAGACGACATATTCATATATGACAGCGCCGTTTTCTCTGTCTTGCAGCCACTCCAGCTTCTTCTTTTCGTCGGCACATCGGAGCATCTGTGCAAGTTTTCGAGAACATCGGATCGCGATGCTGGCCGACAGTAGCAACGATCCGAGATGAATGCTACATCTACATACAGACATCTACGTCATCACAAGCTCGACTTCGGCTCCGAGGTCTTCTCGCCTTCTGGACTTCTGAGCCCGTGCGACAGCTCCACTTTTTCCTCCCCACTCGTGCTGGATCTCACGGTGAACGACGCCGCGGCCAAGGGAAATCCAGCGCCAGCGGATCCTTCACGCCGGATGTGGGTCCATGTCCCGGTACTGTCCCTCCTCGACCGCAGATGCCAAGGTCCGGCTGCGTGATCTCCGCTACAGCCGCGCTCGCTTCACGCTGTCCCTGGGCAGCAGACCTTGCATGGCTGCCTGCTGGGGCTCAAGTCCGAAGATGCCACCAGTGTGCCAAAAGAGAATGCGCGAGTTTCTGAACTTGTCCGGATGTGCTCTGGCATGTTCCTGGGCTGGAGAATTTCACCGGGCACGATGGGTAGCTCATGCAGGCAGGACCAGTATGTTCTTGAGTTTCTGACATGAGACAAAACCACAAGCAAAATCTGGGCTGTGGACTTTTGCGCCAGTAACTATTCATGGCTTGCTGATGCTGCCATGCATCACAGAAGTGATAGAGGGCCTTGCCTGAGTAAACATGATCCAACACCACGCCGGAGGCGGCTGCCACCTCCGCAATGAAGGCTAAGTTCTCGGCTGCTGGCACGGCATATCCCAGGCCGGCTCCATTGTGGATGTTCAGGGCGCCCAGAACTCCATCGACCTCCTCAGATGTACAGCCAAGAGCGTCTGCCTCCTTGGCTACGAGGTCGTAGTAGGCTTTTGGGCTGTGCTGTATGTTCACCCCATGTAGTGTGAGGTCGAGCTTCGCCTTGTGGAAGCCCACCGCCAAGCCGGCCAAAGTGCCCCCAGAGCCCGCAGCCACCACCACATGATCGAAATCCTTTCCCAGGAGTTCTATCTGCTCTCGGAGCTCCTCCACGGCTTGTAGATACCCCCAGGTGCCTAGAGGCGTGGTCCCTCCCACGGGGATCACGTAGGGCCGAAAGCCCTTCTTCCGAAGACGCTCTGCCATCCTTTCGTTGAGTGTGTCGGCGGCTTCCAAGTTCCCTCCGAGCTTGTAGTACTCGGACGCAGTGCACAGGTGAATCTTCGCCCCCATGAGCCGGCCGATCAGCAGATTGCCCTCCATACCTGAAGCCGAGGGGGAGCAGCCGCGCCTTTTAGACGAATATGCTGAAAACGCAGCCTGAGTGCAACCTTGCCTGGATCTTCATCCGCCACAGTGTCCTTGACCAGGAGGACCAGGTGGGGCTCCAAGCCCGCCATTCGGGCTGCCACCGCGGTGGCACGGCAGTGGTTTGACTGGAGCCCACCAACCGTCACCACCGAGTCGTGGTTCCCCGCCAAAGCTTCCGCCATGAGAAACTCCAGCTTGCGCGTCTCACGGATGGGAGTGAGAGAAAATGTGTAAGTAAGCGGAATTACAACGAAGATCCTGCCTTGTTCCCGGTCAGCTCGAGCCCAGTCATGTCATCGCGCTTGATGGACCACTTCCTGGGTTTTCAGCAACTTGTACATGTACGGAGCAGACGGATCTCGGGGCAAAGGGATGCAGTGATGCAGCTAAGATGTCGTAATCTGCACATGTACTGTCGTGCTCAACAAACCTTCTTCTCAGATTGCAGGTTGGGCTTCACATTCAAGTCGCGCAGAGCGGGACATGCCCAAGGCATCCTGAGTGAGAGAAATGGAAGGCCAGCGGGGACAAACGTACTTACCTGCAACAGGACTGAAGAGTAGATCACTCGATCAAACCGCATGCTAACCTCAGCCTACGAGTACGTATGCGTCCGAGGCGCAGCGGGGTCGGCAAATTTCCAAGGGGAATTCGCCAGTCCGGCACTCGCAAGGACCCTGCCCATCGAGGGGCCTGGAGTCGGTGTCTTGTCGCTTCTAAGCTTCTATGCAATGCTGGCCCAAGCCGAGTCGCCTCGTAGGTCATGCACTTCAGAAGCTGCATGGCCGACGCCCGGCAGAGCGAGCTTACGGTGATCTTGCCATGCTTATACCGTGAGCCCAGACTGAGGCCGAGTTGTCACAACGATTTCACTACGATTTCACTACGATGCGTGAACTGATCCCTCTATCGAACTCCGGCGACCTGAGTGGCAGGCACACCGTTGTGGAGCCCATGCTCTCGGTGTTCTGGAAAGCCTTTCGAGTGTGCAGTGGATACTCCACGTGGAGGCGTGCGGAGTGGTTGGAATGGCCTCGCGCATCAATGGAATAGGCCCTCTGTAGAGGTCTGAGATCTTCCCAGCCTTGAGGCGCAAGGGGGCGAAACAGTTCGAGTTCTCGCTGAGGACCCGGCTTGATCCGGCATCAGCAAAGCAGTCGCTTGCTCCTGGTCACGAGGAGAGATGCCGATCTCGGCCGGGGCATGACAAGAAATCACAGCGGCCTCACAGGCTGCCAGAAGTTCCCGCGGAAGCTCTGATGCATCTAGTCCAAACTCCTGACGCAAGTTGACGCTTTTGCATCCAAGTCCGAAAAGCAGTGGCAGCGAAGCCTCGATCTGAGACACGCCGTCTGCACAACCGAGGAGCATTGGAGAAACCTCCAAAAAGACACAACGGGAGAGGAGCCAAAGCGCTGTCGAGGATCGAGGCGGCTGAGAGAATCTGAGGCCCTTGGCCACCGTGGCATCTGCATCTCGATGTCCAGGTGCAATGGCCTGCCAGGCTTTTCCGGGGTCCCCTCTCCGACCCCCCCCCCCCCCCCCCCCCCCCCCCCC